TAACAATTCTTCTTACTTTAAAAACTCTAATCCTTTCTCTTATGTCAATTAAGGAAATTGTAGGAATCCTAAACAACTCCTTTCCGACAACCATCTCCTATGAGCAGGACCCAACTTTTATCACCGCATTTTCGCAGTCACATTTCATGGAGGGTAAAAGACTGGTACGTTTGCTTTATTCTTGAAATAATCCAGACGAGTTCCATGCAGTCTTGACTTTTTCCTCCAATGTTCATTTCGTAATGAGCATACTCAGGACGTTAAAATTTGCAAAAGCACTGGCCTTAAAACTTCGAGAGATGCTCTTAAGAATTATGAACTTTTCTAGCTACAGGTCGCCAGTATTCGTGCATTCTACAAGAAGGCCAGGATTGTTATTTACGACATCGGCTTGACAAAGAAGAATGTTGCACAAGTAAAAAGATGGTGCCATGTAGAGTACCGCTCATTCAACTTTGAGAAGTATCCTCACTTCATTCGGCAATTACATACTTTCCGCTGGAAGCCAATTGTGATTGCGGTTCGTTCAGCTTCTTTTGCAAATAGATTTTCACTACCGAAAGTAGAAAGTCTTACTGCAAATGCGCATAGGAAAACAAATTCTACTCGTAATTAAGGGAGAGGGAGGGGGAGAGGAGCGAATAAGTCCCAAAAAATTTTTTTCGAACGTTTTCAAACACAGAAACACTTAGGGAACTGCAAGCAATGTAGAGTTCCTTAAACAATGTAATGCCTCTCTTCGTTGTATGTTTTTAGCATATACATATATGTTTTGCCTATAACACGTTACTTCTAAAAGAAGAAACATATCAAGTTGAAGTGACATTTTCCGTTTAGATGTATCTCATAAGATGGGGCTTGAAATGCCAATCTAAGATCTGCTTTCTTACTTGCGGAACAACTTTTTGGGCTACAGATGTTTCTCTGTCATAAAAAGTCTCGAAGAAGCTGTAGAAATTCACTCTAAGCTAAAACAACAACGAACAACAATGCAAAACTCAATTTAAG